CAAAAAAGTCTCTTGCTTTTTACAGATAAACTAAAAATGATATCACTCCCTCAGACATTGTGCAGAGCTGGATGTAGGAATCAATCTGGGAAAATTAAATGTTCGGTGACAGCAATCCTCGAGTGACTGTATTCGCTGAAAGCTGCGCACACTTGAAGACATCGTTTTCCATCCTGCTGCCTCGTTTGCAGGAATCTGCGTTCCCAAAAATACATGTGATTCCTTTCACCTCGTCAAAAGAGGATACATGGTCTTTTCATTTCTATCTAAATCTTATGCCAAGCATCAATACAGTTGTGGCCCACCTGCCCGGGGCCACTTTTTGCAGTGGCTGTGACCAGCCGCAAGACAGGTGCCCTACCACGGCATAAGGCGTGCTACGGCTGTGCGGTGCTGCCGACCAGGCCAGCCACTCTCCCTTCCCTCCTGTTCGCTGTGCCATCCACTCCCCCTTCCCTCCCTCTCGCAGTGCCATCCACTCCCCCTTCCCTCCTGTTCGCTGTGCCAGCCACTCCCCCTTCCCTCCTGCTCGCAGTGCCAGCCACTCCCCCTTCCATCCTGCACGCAGTGCCATCCACTTCCCCTTCCCTCCTGCTCGCAGTGCCATCCACTCCCCCTTCCTTCCTGCTCGCATGCCATCCACTCCCCCTTCCCTCCTGCTCGCAGTGCCATCCACTCCCCCTTCCTTCCTGCTCGCAGTGCCAGCCACTCCCCCTTCCCTCCTGCTCGCAGTGCCATCCACTCCCCCTTCCTTCCTGCTCGCAGTGCCAGCCACTCCCCTGCTGCTCTCCTGCCTACATTGCCAGCCACTCTCCCTTTCCTCCTGCTCTACATTGCCAGCCACTCCCCTTCCTCCTGCTCTCGCAGTGCCAGCTAATTCCCCTTCCCTCCTGCTCATACAGTGCAGTGCAGTGCCAGCTACACCTTTCCTCCTGCTCACAGTGCTGTGCCACACCCCTTCCCTCCTGCTCACAGTGCCAGCCACACTCCCTTCCCTCCTGCTCGCAGTGCCAGCCACTCCCCCTTCCTTCCTGCTCGCAGTGTCAGCCACTCCCCCTTCCCTCCTGCTCGCAGTGCCAGCCACTCCCCCTTCCATCCTGCTCGCAGTGCCAGCCACTCCCCCTTCCCTCCTGCTCACAGTGCCAGCCACTCCCCCTTCCATCCTGCTCGCAGTGCCAGCCACTCCCCCTTCCATCCTGCTCGCAGTGCCAGCCACTCATCCTTCCATACTGCTCGCAGTGCCAGCCACTCACCCTTTTGTCCTGCTCGCGGTGCCAGTTACTCGGCCTTCTGTCCTGCATGCAGTGCCAGAGGAGCGTCTGGCCTGTTTGAGCAGAGAAGAGCATGGCTGGAACTGGAGGGGGGCATTGAATTCATTTGAAGGAGGGAGGGGGTAGTGTATTAAATTTAGGGAGGGAGTTAGCAGTGTATTAATTTTAGGGAGGGGGTACTATATTAATTTGGGGAAGGTAGGGGGCCAATGTATTAAATTGGGGAGGGTGGCAGTGTATTAGAGTGGTGGGAGAGGGAGGGGGGCAGTGTTTTAGAGTGGTGGGAGAGGTGGCTGTGTCTTAAATTGGGGAGGGCAATGTATTTATTTTGGGGGGGGGGGGGTAGTGTATTAGTGTGGTGGGAGGAGGGGTAGTGTGTTAAATTGGGGGAGGGCAGTGTATTAAATTGAGGGAAAGAGGGCATTGTATTAAATTAGAGAGCTGGGAGAAGGGGCAGTGTATTCAAAATACAAAAAAGCAGTTTTTTTGTATTTTGATTCAAATAGGGGTTACCCCCCACAACAGGAGTCCTATTCACACCTAATACAACAAATCTTTTTTGGGGCAGTGTATTCAATTAGAGTGGAGGGAGTAGGGGACAGTGTATTAGATTGGGGGGGGGAGGCAGTGTATTGGATTTGTGGGCAGTATATTAGATTGGGGGGAGGGGCAGTGTATTAGAATAGATGAAGGGGGCAGTGTGTTAGAATGAGGGGAGGGAGTGGTATGTTAGATTAATGGGCAGTGTATTATATTAGAGAGCCGGGAGAAGGGGCAGTGTATTTAATTAGAGTGGAGGGAGCAGTGTATTAGACTGGGTCTGCATGGAGGCGCTGAACGCTCCCCATGGAGAGGATAATTGGCCACACAGCTTTTTACCACACATGCACAATAGCCTCCCAATGCTTTCCGATGGGAAAGCATTGGATTGGCTGAGATCATCGTTTGTTACAGCTGTGCAACAGTTTACATTCACCATTTCAGTCCCATTTCCAAACTGTTCTTAAATGTCAAGGTAGTTGGACTGAAACATTGGTTATATGCAAATGCCGTCTCCTTAAAATAAATTCTCTCTTTTGTTTACTTTGAACACCAACGAGCGCGAAGATGTCCAGTGTCAGTTAGGCAACTTTCTTATACTCTACTTTCCTTAATAAACCTAAGATTCTATGAAAACTGAACTTTTCATTTTTTTTGCGGCCCACATCAACGAAAAACTTGCTTACTTGGCCCGTGTTAGCCTTTGAGTGTGACATGCTCGCTCTAAAGTAAAAAATATGTTTTTTAAAAAGGGTTAGAGTTATTCTTGCAAGGCTACAGTTTTAGGGCATTCCGATTTTTTCCCACATATGACAAAAGGAAAGAGCCACATTATTTCCTGTGGAACACAACGACCTTGGTGTCACTTGACAAACACTTGATGTCGGCTGCAATGTTACTTGTTATTCTGGAATCTCAATAAACTCTGACTTTTCCTGCTCAGACTTCCATCTGTCCATCATTGTTTATATGACCTGGAAAAGGTTTTTTTCTTTTAAGGAATCTTCTTCTTTAAGCTGCACACCTAGGCAACAGCTTAAAATATTAATTTGGAAGAGATTATACTTTCAACTAAAACATGCACCCCAACATTATAAATGGACAAAGGGGGACTCTTTAATTTTAGGGATGTGGCTATTATGGGAAATTTTAGATAACTTACTAATAATAATTTATCCAACTAAAATTTAATTTATAACTAGAACAATGTATCTTATTTACTCAGACTGATTAATAAACACCTTTATTACAGTTTAAAGGGATCACTTCATCCCATTGTCATAGTCTGGATGGTCTCCCTATTTCCTTAACCCTGCAATGTAGAACAACAGCCAGCCATTAGAGGCGCTTCCTGCAGTTTTACGGAGTTTGACTCCGTGAAAATACGCTCAACGATCTTGCGATTTGCATGAAGATGTCCAGTGCGTTGTAAAAACCCCATGAAAAAACCTCATGAAAAAGATATAATCTGATACAATTTAAATTTGTATCCAAATTATTGTGGAATAGGCAAAAATTATCTTCAAGCTTGGACCGACTAGCACGAAAAAAAGAAGTCTGAAAACTATTCCCAAAACAATAATGAGGCCAGCTGATTGTGAAATGTGCCAGGACAGACCTCAGTATAGGGCAGGAGAGGGCATGTGGCCCCCCCACTGGCATATTCTTTGTGAATAGACCTGTATGCTATCATAGGCAAATGTTTTTTAAAAATTATAAATAAACATAACTAACATTAACGCTTCACACATTGAAAATAGATTAGGAGAAAACCTTGTTTTTCTAACAATCTCCCATTGCCCAGTCCAAGTTTGGAGAAACAGTAAGGCAGGTAGGTAGAGATTATTAAACCTTGCCGTCAAGCTCAGGGTCTGTGGAAGTGAAAGGGCTGATTAAGCCAACATTCCCTTAGTAACCAGAGTTGTATAATTTTAGTATATTTTGCCTTCATCACTGGCAGACCTTGGTTAAAGGACCACTCTAGGCACCCAGACCACTTCAGCTTAATGAAGTGGTCTGGGTGCCAGGTCCAGCTAGGGTTAACCCATTTTTTAATAAACATAGCAGTTTCAGAGAAACTGCTATGTTTATGAATGGGTTAAGCCTTCCCCTATTTCCTCTAGTGGCTGTCTCATCGACAGCCACTAGAGGCGCTTGCGTGCTTCTCACTGTGATTTTCACAGTGAGAGCATGCCAGCGTCCTCAGGGCACTATAGTACCAGGAAAACGAGTATGTTTTCCTGGCACTATAGTGGTCCTTTAAGTGGGAGATTCTGTAATATTGAACAACAATAATCTAATACATTTGCAGTACACTCAGGGGTTATTCTGCCCATAATTCAATTATGTCACTTTTCTACATTTTACTTTAAAATGTGTCTTAACTTTTAAGAAGACTCGAAATACCTTGAATTGATTTGCAAATTCCCTGATAGGCCACAGAAAGAATTAAACCACAATTCAGGAAAATGAAAGTCTGTGATGGTGTGTGGGTTGATATCTGCATAGCGTATGTTACAGTATGTGCAGATCTAGTAAATGATGAAAAGTATTGGTAATACGAATATACCGTTAAATACTGTATTATGAAAACCTGGTACCAATTTAATGTTTGCCTCCAGCAGTGTAATAACACTCTGTATCAATATAATGATCTTCTATTTCCATGTAATATTAACAAACTACACGAGTAATCAACCATCGATGGCACACGTGCCATACATGGAAAGTCAGGTTACTGGACCCAAGTGGGCCAGATGGAGAGATCTCTAGAGCACATTGGAGCAGAAACCTAAGGAAACTCTCCTTTGAGATACAGCACTTCTCTGTGATTTAGAATGTTGCTACAGGTTACCATGTCAATGCTTTTTCTCACTAGAAATGTGCTGTAATGAAGGCAGAGGTATACGTGTTCTGCACCCATGGAAACTGCAAGATCCACACATCAGACTACCTGGGATTAATAAAGTATCATGCACACCTCCAAAAGAAAAGTTAGACAACTAGGAGGGAGGGAGGGAGGGAGGAAGGAAGGGGGGAGCATAAAACACACTTCAAATCATCTGAATTGACAAATAGCTATATGACCGAATAAATGAAATAAATTACATTACTCTGCACCAAAATAACACATGGATGAAGGCCGAATCGCTCAATACTAATTGTTTTTCCGGACAAATCGATATTTACTTACCAATTTTTTGCCACCATGCACAAGTCTAATAGACAGGACAGGTCCTGATCCTATGTTCTAAAGATATTTGATAGAAGTTGTGGAAGCTCTCTATCTGGATAGGTTTTCTCTACATTTTGATTATGAAAGAACAATGCTTGGTGGACAGGGAGCCAAGATGATTGCACAAGATCCAGGATAGCAATATATCCTAACGTGCCGGTGATCACCATGGCGCACTCGATTTCTATCTTGATAAGAAAATGGAATGAGAAAGGATTCACCAGGTTTAATTCTGTGGGAGGAAATTAACAATAATGTTTATAATGAAAAAGATGTCTGTAAAGCAGTGAAATAATAGCTTGTATGAAAATATGGAATACGAGAAAAAGTTCCTACTGATATCAAGAGACACCAATCTTCTCTTGATTCTATTATGTTACTACATCTTGGCATTGGTTTACCTGTATATTCAAAAAATATATCATATATTCTTATGGAAGAATGCCGAGCTCAAAGTTCAAACAAGGCAATGTTTAATTTTAGGTCAGTAAAACAAGTTCACAATAAAATAGACTAAACTATACAATTGTTTCACATAATGTATACAATATTTACAAGCACGCATTGCATGTACATGCCTTGCAATGGTGTATGTTCTCCTTTCCTCTTCTGTCAACCCTCTTTCCTTATCTAACTGTCCTTGTCTGATATTAGGTTTTCCCTATGTCCAGGGGTTTAAAGGAACACTCTAGCACAATAAGTTCTAAACCACCACTAGATGCCCATGGCCACATGTCCAGCTTCTGTGACTCTCCTGTAAGTAAAACCAGTTAGGTCTAACAGTTTAGCAGGACTGAAGAGTATCAGCTAAATTTCCTGTCTCATCTACTTACTCCTTTTGATCCATTTACAGTTGCAAGAAAAAGTATGTGAATCCTTTGGAATGATATGGATTTCTGCACAAATTGGTCATAACATGTGATCTGATCATCATCTAATTCACAACAATAGACAATCACAGTCTGCTTAAACTAATAACACACAAAGAATGAAATGTTGCCATGTTTTTATTGAACACACCATGTAAACATTCACAGTGCAGGTGGAAAAAATATGTGAACCCCTAGACTAATGACATCTCCAAGAGCTAATTGGAGTGAGATGTCAGCCAACTGGAGTCCAATCAATGAGATGAGATTGGAGGTGTTGGTTACAGCTGCCCTGCCCTATAAAAAACACACACCAGTTCTGGGTTTGCTTTTCACAAGAAGCATTGCCTGATGTGAATAATGCCTCGCACAAAAGAGCTCTCAGAAGACCTACGATTAAGAATTGTTGACTTTCATAAAGCTGGAAAGGGTTATAAAAGTATCTCCAAAAGCCTTGCTGTTCATCAGTCCACGGTAAGACAAATTGTCTATAAATGGAGAAAGTTCACTGCTGCTACTCTCCCTAGGAGTGGCCGTCCTGTAAAGATGACTGCAAGAGCACAGCGCAGACTGCTCAATGAGGTGAAGAAGAATCCTAGAGTGTCAGCTAAAGACTTGCAAAAGTCACTGGCAAATGCTAACATCCCTGTTAGCAAATCTACAAATGCTGTAAAACACTAAACAAGAATGGATTGCCGTAAAACACTAAACAAGAATGGATTTCATGGGAGGATACCACAGAGGAAGCCACTGCTGTCCAAACAAAACATTGCTGCACGTTTACAGTTTGCACAAGAGCACCTGGATGTTCCACAGCAGTACTGGCAAAATATTCTGTGGACAGATGAAACCAAAGTTGAGTTGTTTGGAAGAAACACACAACATTATGTGTGGCGAAAAAAGGCACAGCACACCAACATCAAAACCTCATCCCAACTGTGAAGTATGGTGGTGGGGGCATCATGGTTTGGGGCTGCTTTGCTGCGTCAGGGCCTGGACGGATTGCTATCATCGAAGGAAAAATGAATTCCCAAGTTTATCAAGACATTTTGCAGGAGAACTTAAGGCCATCTGTCTACCAGCTGAAGCTCAACAGAAGATGGGTGTTGCAACAGGACAATGACCCAAAGCATAGAAGTAAATCAACAACAGAATGGCTTAAACAGAAGAAAATACGCCTTCTGAAGTGGCCCAGTCAGAGTCCTGACCTCAACCCGATTGAGATGCTGTGGCATGACCTCAAGAAAGCGATTCACACCAGACATCCCAAGAATATTGCTGAACTGAAACAGTTCTGTAAAGAGGAATGGTCAAGAATTACTCCTGACCGTTGTGCACGTCTGATCTGCAACTACAGGAAACGTTTGGTTGAAGTTATTGCTGCCAAAGGAGGTTCAACCAGTTATTAAATCCAAGGGTTCACATACTTTTTCCACCTGCACTGTGAATGTTTACATGGTGTGTTCAATAAAAACATGGCAACATTTCATTCTTTGTGTGTTATTAGTTTAAGCAGACTGTGATTGTCTATTGTTGTGACTTAGATGATGATCAGATCCCATTTTATGACCAATTTGTGCAGAAATCCATATCATTCCAAAGGGTTCACATACTTTTTCTTGCAACTGTATGTTATGCGTTCAGCCATATCCGTGGTGGGACAAGGTCCTTTAATCTGTCGTCTGTAAGGCATCAAACTAGCATTCCCTCTGAAATATACTCACCTGTAGGACATAGAAAAGGGTGCTCCAATTCCTACATGATTGGCGGAACAATGAGTGTTTATCTCTGATACAACTTTCGGTGAAGGTCACCCTAATGATGTGTCTTGTCTACTTCCACTGGGTCTCCAATATTTGCACTTTGGATGCTGATGGTTTTTCTATCACTCCTTATAGTCACACCAAGGCGGATTCCTCATCGACCTTTTACCCTTTTTTCCGAAACATAACTCAGCTTTGTGTGGCCAAGACTCTCCTTCGGTATGTGGAACCATTCGGTATGTGCACCATTACGACCATCATATCTAGGTCAACGTCTCACTGTGTTAAAAAGCACAAACCTGTCTCCACCATCACCTTAGCGAGATGGGTTAGATGGGTTCTCGCTTTGGCGGGAGTGGAACCCGATTTCATTCAGTTCAAGATGGCATTGCGTGTCTTTGTGTTGGGTGCTTCCTTATCAAACATTATGCGCATGGCGAGCTGGTCATAGGAAGATACCTCCTTTTGACATGCTTCCTTCAGTCTTCTGTGATAGCATTGAAAATGCTAAATATGATACATCCTGTAATGTAATAAAATTGTAGCTTATGCTAATTTAAATGTACAATATTCATAATTCTAATAATGACAGGAGGCAAATATTTCCCTTCCTCAAGGGACTTTCTTTCTTCTAGGACACTAGTTCTTCGTTGTTTTTCCACAAGCTCTTGTGTGTTCTGTCGCTTGGTGTTATTTTATTTGTTCATGTAAGCAATA